CATCAATAAATTCTGTCACATCAATACATATTTTCTAATTCCTTTATACTACACAATATCACAATAATCAGTCGCATTCTTTACCATACAACTTTTACAAAGTACGCAAATATTCAAATATCCATGCTCTGACATATACATACGTCCATAGTAACCAATTTTACATACTGAAACCATTCAAAATTCATAATTCATGCATGTGTAAATTCTAACATAACGCACTAATAAATGCACTAGTTTACTACAAAGTAACCTAATAGCGAATAACAAAATTAATTCTGACTACAAGCTAACAATCTACATAATTCCGCATCGCATCTAATAATTATCTATGTAAGCTCAAGCACATTTCTCAAATACGCATGTAAATGAAACACTACAAAGATAATTCTACATACTAAATGATCCTAGTAATTAAGTATGCATACTACAAATAGTTATAATTATGATTTCCTAATATTTTGCAAACATCGAGCAAATAACCTACTGGCCTTTTCGAAGCTTTGTCTTTCCTTAGAATCTACCTTCTCGTTGTATCGCTAAATTATAAATGGCTTCTTCTCGGAGCTTACCCTATTGACCCGAAATCCGTTTAAGCGAATACTAAAATTTTCTTTCACGAGTTCTGATAGTTACCATTCGTATCGGAATTGTTATCATACCCTCTATCTCAATTACGATTGGATATGGATGTGAACCGATCCAATCAAACTTAGCTGCCTATGTCCCTCTCGCTTTCTGTCAACGTGGGGAAGGATGAGAACACATAGGTGTGATAACTTTGAGCCTTTGTTTAGATGGTGCGATCCATAATCTTTGCCGATTGAAGATTCCGGTCTCCGGCGGTCATGCAGCCTTGCGTAAGAGTTTAACACTAGCTCATGGCAATCTTTAAACATCAAACACATGTCCTCGGTAATATTCCCAAGACATGTAGATTGTAACATTTACATGACTTTATAAGCTTTCTTAGCAAACATGAACATATATATATATATATATATATATATATATATATATATATATATATATATATATATATATATATATATATATAGACTTAGATAGTAACGAGATAGTACCATTAAGAGTTAAAATCAAATCGTATTGCAGAAGTGACACGCATTTAGTCCTTGACCAACTGTTCATATTATAATTCTAACTTGAGTAACCTCTTTTTCTCATTTAGGATGGATCGTGCGAGGATATGGTGCTTTTATTTTGACTTAGGATTGAGGTTATTCATTGTTGTCAGGTCCAGGAACATGGATTGTCCAGCGGTATGAGAACTCTGAAACAAATACTCAACTCTAGATGTCTTCATAGGAGATTTATTCTAAAGAATTTGAAGGAATCTAATTTATTTAAAAGCAGATTAATAACTCTGGTAATGAACAATGCTGTAGTTGAATACATATAATATGAAATGCTAGTATCAAAGGACACTGTTCGGATATTGATGCAATTATACGACCTTGTATGCATGCAACTGCGACCAAGAAAGAGTTAAGGAGACGAAATTACTTTTTGACTTGGACTTGATTACATTTGGCATGTCAATTCTCTCAGTAAACTCAGCCATTATGAACTATTATTAACGACTGCATTGAAGGTGTTCAAGAGCTTTCGTTTATGTTTAAAAATGTTTAAAGTGTTTAAAAATACGAAAATAGAAAGATTAAAAACAACTAAAAAGGAAAAACAGCAAATCGAAAATATTATTTGGAAGCAGTGCAAATACAACAATGATCACAACATTTAATTAGGAGATAATCATGGAATAGAAACGACCTTGCTGCTCAAAGGCGAGATTTCGGGAAAGAAAAGGAAAGTTTAGTTTCTGGAAGTGGCACCGCGAATTTGAATGTTCTGGAATTTCCAGCAGTAGCAATGTTATCAGCTCTAGATTGACATCTTGGTAATTTTGCAGGAGATCGGTCAGTTGTGGTCAGACCATAATTTGAAGGTGTTGTTTAGCTGTGCCTCTGTGAAATATTCATGACAAAGACTGATTTTTACCGTGGAATGATTGTGGAGGAGTCATTTTTTTACCGTGGAATGATTGCAGAGGAGTCATTCTGTATTTTTACAGTGGAATCATTGCGGAGGAGTCATTCTTTATTTTTACCTTGGAGTGATTAGGGATTAGTCATTCTTTATTTTGAGATGCCTTTTATTGTCCTTGTGAACGCAGAGTGGTAAAGTGCACAGATAAAGCAAATATGAAATATGACCAAGAACCACGTTTTTCTTAATCCAGAAACGGAATCAAGACTCCGGTAGGCTTTCATCAACTGTTATTTAAAAAAAGCAGCGTAACACCTGACAAGTTGCAATCCGTGTTAATGTACTATAATGGAACTGTTAACCCTCGGAATCCTAGTGTCATTGGAATTTTAGTCTAAGTTCATGTTGTTGCTGTTGTTATTTTTGTTGCTGTTGTTGTTCTTGTAGGGTTTAACGCAATTTTTCAGCACAAGATAGGCTATACATGGTGGCCAGTATACATGGTGTAGGAAGAGCCCGGGAAAATCCCGGAAAGAACCATCGACCCATGAGAAGCTACTGGAAAGCTTTCTCACATACCCACATTGGCCGAGACTCGAGCCAACACAGACAGAGGTGAGATGGTAGTTATCCGTAACGGTGAGCGCTTTAGGCCAATCGGCTACTGGGAGAATGCATGAAGGTAATATATCGTAAAATAGTGGCCTTACCACAGTTCACAAAGGATTTCACATATATCAGTTAGATTCATATTTTCTTTATGTAAAAGTTGATATACCTTTGTTTTTACTTAATATATGTGTTCTAAATTACTGTGTGAAAATCGCTGTATTGTCAATGAGTTGCAACATATGCAGTCCAATTCCTCAGCTACAATGGAAACTGTCATAGTGTCTTCAGTGTCTTCATAACAATTCCCCAACACTGCTTGAAACAATAGCCAGTTTGATAAATAGATAGGACAAACAAAATGATTCTGTGAAGTTTCAGACACATATAGCAAACAGATTATAATTAATCTTTATGTAGGATTCATGTTTATGAAGTATGGGACTACTGGTATCTTAATCCAAGGTGTTATATAAATTGGCAGGTAGTTAAATTGTTACAATACTGGCGCCTTCATTGCCGTGTGCACACACACACACACACACACACACACACACACACACACACAAACACACACACATACACACACAACACACACACACACACTTGTACTGACTACATTAATTCATCAAGGTTCCGATAATTCTCAAGTTACTGCTTTTCAGTTCATGGCATATTCAGCAGTCATGGACCCAAAATACAGCATTATAATGGAATATTGCAATGCAAAATGTGGACAGAGATTTTAATTGATACGATCCACACAAGTCTTTGATCTATTTATTGCTGTAATAAACTGCTTCTACTATTGTCTTTCAAATGTTTCGTCGACTACCGTTTACTTTTGATACATATCATAGATTCAAACACTACTATCAATTTTCTAAGAGTTTCTTTGAAGTTCATTTCAAATGAGCATTTAAAACTGGTATGTTACATTAACTATTCACAAGAGTTTTGGGACAAGAAATATGAATTCTGATATATTTTCATACAATAAATATTAGCTCGTATACGTTTTCGGACAAGAAAAATAAAATGGGACATATTTTCAGAACATATATTCGCACATATATTTGGACAAGTAATATAAATTCAGATATTTCCTTTGATACTATGTCACATGTTGGTTCGTATTACCTCCAACTTAAAACCATATATTTATATTGCATAGGCATAAATACATACACCACGTCGGGTGATTATCTCTTGAAAATACTTTAGAAACAATAACCGTATCTTGAAACATTAACACTGGCAATGATTTTAGCTTAAAACTAATTTGTTCGAATTACACCAAATAGTAACTAATCAATAGGTGGTGTCGAGATATTACAATTTGCTATGCGTTTTTCTTATAGGAACTGTAGCATCATTCCCTTCCTTCATAGTTGTGAAAATATTATGTCTGCAATAATGTACAATATTTTATTTCCCTTAAGTAAGATCATTTCGTTCCAACAGATCACGTTTATGTATCAGCTTCATTCTTGTTTGACACCACTGACACATTCAAAGAAGTAATTTTCAAGTCTTTTGTCATAAGTTCGTCAAGAACTCGTTTTAGTTTAGCGTCTTTTTATATCACCGTGCAAAAAGGTATTAAATTTCGACGCTATCTGATAATGTTTTGGCGTTGGTTTTCAGAGTTCTGGTGTTAGCCTTCAATGTTTGGGTGTTAGTTTTCTGTACTTTTAAGATTTTAACAACTCGTTTGAGGAAACTTTGTCGGAATAATTATTTGAAAACTGCCATATTAGATGCAATGGGGAGTTTCCCGCCCATCAATCAATCATATGTGAGAACCTGGTTAAATGTTTGTTCCATTAAAGTGACATTTATTGCTGATGTATTGGGTGTAATTCGAACTTCAACGTTTGGTTCCAATGATTTGTAAACAGCAAATTAGTTCAGGATATTCCATGTATAAAACTGCTAGTTCAAAATATATAACATTGAAAAACCGTGTTTTTATTTATTTAGCTCAGTCAGATGAAGTTCAGTAATAAATACATCATATTTATTCTGTTGTATGCGGACAGAGAAATTAATGGTCATACATATCTACCGTTTTTTTTGTAATTAGCACAATCACCCATAGGGGTTAATGCCGTGTGTGTGTGTGTCTGTGTGTGTGTGTCTGTGTGTGTGTTTAGGATTTTTAACGTAGCCTTAGCAATTTTTTTAGTCATATCGCTACTATGTCTGCATTTTAGCAATTTATAGTGATGTCTAGCACTGGGGCATAATACTGCAGACATGTAGCATGATGTCCCACCCAGTCACATTATCCTGACATCAGACCGATCAATCCTAACACTAACCTCTTAATGCTGAGCACCAAGCGAGGCAGCTGCTAGTACCATATTTACATGTCTTCGGTATGACTCGACCAGGGTTTGAACCCGCGACCTCCCACATCCAAAGCGTACACTTTAACCACTTAGGTCACCAGAGTGGTCAAATAAACATAAATGGATTCAAAGACGTTCAATTTTTTCAGTTTTTCACTATTTGAAATTCCCTCATACGAACGGTTCAAGAACAATTTTGGCAAACAAAATTCAACCCTTCTGTTCGTCTGCAAAAATGTAGCCCTTGCCAACAATCGTGGCAATAGCAATATAGTAGACTTGTTAAGGCATTTCAAGCAATAATATTATACGAACCTGACATTATTCCTTATCTGTTAGGAGATACCAAAATATTTCCTGTTTTTGCAATGACAGCTGAGTAGATCAAAAACTAAGGCTCTGGTCATTTTATGCGATGATAGCCAAAATTATATTATTCCAGGTAGTTATCAATCAGAATGATTACGAAAAATGATTGGTTTTGCTATAACCGTACATCAAAATGTAGCTTTTGTAATGGGCAGGCCTTTATTGCGCACAATGTTCGTGCAAATCTGGATTAACAATGACTTCTCATGAATAAGTAACATAAAATAAAATAAAATTCCAGCTTTATCTTGTAGGCAAGAAAGTGGTTACATTTTGTACAGACTAAATACAGGAAGAACAAATTAAATAACACAATAACTGAAGTTTGTGTCAACGAAAATAAATGTCGTTAGCGATAAAAAGTTGAAAATATTTTTATTTATAAATTTTCCAAAACTAGAAATAGTGGCTTTTGAAGAAACTACAATTTATAACTCATTCACCATATAAGACTTATTTCCAGAGGAATTCAATTTAAATACAGATAAGACCATAAAAGAACTTCACATGGTCGATTGTGTATTAGTGTTGGTACATAAAGATCTTATGCAAATGCTACTGGCCGAATTGGACATTGGATAAATTCTTTTTTGACAAAAACCTTTGTGAAAGATCATCGCAGTACAGAGGACACAGCTATTAATGCGCCGATTTTATTTTATTGAGAAAACACCTGAACAATATAAAATTTTATAAACATGAACATAAAGCTCATAAACGTTATGGGAGACTTTAATTATAATAACATCGATTGCACGGACTAAACTTGCAATGTAGGGAACAGCGTTGACGCAGTGCGATGCAACAATGTCATTGTGATTTAGCATCAACCGCTCCGTTAGCCTAGTGGCTAGAGCGTCCGCTTCGGATGCCGGAGGTCGTGGGTTCGATTCCCGGTCGAGTCATACCGAAGACTTACAAAAATGGTACTAACAGCTGCCTCGCTTAACGCTCAGCATTAAGAGGTTAGTGTTAGGACTGGTCGGCCTGATGTCAGGATAATGTGACTGGGTGGGACATCATGCTACATGTCTGCGGCATGTTTCCCCAGGGCTAGACATCACTATAAACTGCCACAATGCAGACATCGTAGCGATGACTGACAAATTGTTAAAGCTACGTTGAAAATCATAATCACATCACATAATTACATAATTTAGCGTCAAATTAACCTAGATCAGGAAAAGATAATTGATGTAATGTGATCAGGAAAATGGAAAATGTCAAGGATTGGTGTGGTTTCATTTTACGAATGCATTAAATGTTTTGACATTTTCACATATTTATTAATGTTTATGAAAATAAAGATAAGATCTCGAATCTTCGAACGACATTACTAATATCAAGCAACAATTTAGTCCATTTTCACTAACGCGTAAAAATTATATTGCATTTTCACTAAAGCGTATAAATGATTTAGCATTTAGCGGCATTTTGTAATGTCAGTCATGGAGTCGAGATATATGTGTGTAAAATAATCATTAATCATCAAGCAATAAAGCACATTTTTGTTCCGATACAAATTAATAATTACCGACTTTTGAACCTTCACAAAATGATCCAAAAAAGATTCCATTTTGAAGAAGTTACAATTGCACATTGTTCTGTTAAAGTAGGTTGCATATAATCATCACCGAAAATTATCCACCAAATGAAATAAGACAAGGTTGGCTGACTTGATTTATATAGCAAACATGCCAATCAGAAAAGAGAAAATTAATTTATAAAATCTACGTAGTCATTGGTCAGTTTGGTCATCTAGCTTCTTAAGGCTAATACAATATTAATCAATTATGGTATTAACGAAGTCGATTGCCTCTCCATCTGACCTGGCTAAATGTTTAAGTTTGTCTACAAGATGTATGCAGTGCATGCGTGGTTTTCAGAACTTCCGGTATAAACTTATGTAAACAAATGGATACAAAAATGAAAAAATAATTATTTTGTTCCATGCACCTAATCAAAGATGGCAACCATTTCTACTTTTCTCCAAAAGGACATCCAAAACGTATTAACAAAATGTCTTCTTTTATTCCAAATTTGCTTACCTTATTAAATTTTAATTCACGTGCATATTTTAACTAATACAAAGTTTTGTGAACATTTGCATTTTATCACCGTTTCAGTGATTTTTAATTTCAATAGCAACGTTTATTTTTACTTCTTTATATTAATTATTGAAAAGATTAAAGTTTTTCACCAGAAATTCCTTTACTCCTAATTATTTGTTGCTAGTTCATTTTAGTCTTCTTTCGTATACTTTCTTTTATAGAATTATTACGTACAACATAAGTGCTCTAAATTTCAATAAGTTTTGTTAGTTCAAGTTAATGGTTTTCTCAACAACAAAATGAAAAATAAAATTTTTACCATTGCTTGTAATTCGTGTAGAATGAGAATTAAATCAGTTATTTGCCATAATAAATCCTCTTTATTTTTAAAAGTCTTTTCAGTTGGTGATTCTATTATGTATGTAATAGTCTTAATTTATATTGACGTAAACATAAGTAGATTTATTACTATTGTACATTATTTTCATTTTTACATAGTAGCAAGAAACATAAACGATTACTAGCTTTCTAACACATTTTATCTCCAAAATCATGAACATTTAGAAGCTTAAGCAATAATTTAAATGTTATTGGGTAACAATTGTTGGTGTGTTATAGGGTAATGATTATCATTTTATAAAATGGATTCAGAGCATGAAAAGGTTACTAAAGCCGTGAAAAGTGGTCCACAGTGACTTGCTTTTGGAAGAAGTTTGTTTTTCTAGAATGCATTTACATATCAACTTTAATGAGAATTTGTGAAATACGACATTGAAGTTATTGATAAATTTAATGTAGTTTTTGATAGAAAATGAATGAAATGGCGTGAAATCACGTTCAAAAACTGGAACTCACTTGAAAAAGGTACAAAAAACTATTTTAAATTTGGTTGTATTGATAAACAAAATCTAATTAATTGAATGTGGTCAACACATCCCAGATGTTTTAGTTTTTGATAGAAAATGAATGAATGGCGTGAAATCACGTTCCAAAACTGGAACTCACTTGCCAAAAGGTACAAAAAAACTATTTTAAATTTGGTTGTATTGATAAACAAAATCTAATTAATTGAATGTGGTCAACACATCCCAGATGTTTTAGTTTTTGATAGAAAATGAATGAATGGCGTGAAATCACGTTCCAAAACTGGAACTCACTTGCCAAAAGGTACAAAAAAAACTATTTTAAATTTGGTTGTATTGATAAACAAAATCTAATTAATTGAATGTGGTCAACACATCCCAGATGTTTTAGTTTTTGATAGAAAATGAATAAATGGCGTGAAATCACGTTCCAAAACTGGAACTCACTTGCCAAAAGGTACAAAAAAAAAACTATTTTAAATTTGGTTGTATTGATAAACAAAATATAATTAATTGAATGTGGTCAACACATCCCAGATGTTTTAGTTTTTGATAGAAAATGAATAAATGGCGTGAAATCACGTTCAAAAACTGGAACTCACTTGCCAAAAGGTACAAAAAAACTATTTTAAATTTGGTTGTATTGATAAACAAAATATAATTAATTGAATGTGGTCAACACATCCCAGATGTTTTAGTTTTTGATAGAAAATGAATGGATGGCGTGAAATCACGTTCAAAAACTGGAACTCACTTGCCAAAAGGTACAAAAAACTATTTTAAATTTGGTTGTGTTGATAAACAAAATCTTTTTAATTGAATGTGGTCAACACATCCCAGATGTTTTAGTTTTTGATAAAAAATGAATGAATGGCGTGAAATCACGTTCAAAAACTGGAACTCACTTGCCAAAAGATACCAAAAAAACTATTTTAAATTTGGTTGTGTTGATAAACAAAATCTTTTTAATTGAATGTGGTCAACACATCCCAGATGTTTTAAGACGGACTGCAGAATAGTGAAAAACTTTGTAGTGAGAAAACTGCACATATTTACTTTTATTGTGGACACATCACATTGTGGACACATCGCATTGTGGACACTTCGCATTATCATCGCAATATTTGAAATTATTAGAGCTACATAAATGCACCCCCACCCCAATTTTCTGAAAACTAAAGGCTTTTTGTCTGTTGTTTCAAGTCACTCAAATCTTATTAAGGGGATGATATTTCCAGTATGTGGGGCAGGAGGATTGCCTGACCATTAAGCAAGCACACTTCCCCATTGTGAGATATGTAACTGACCAAAACATCCACATTGTTGTATTTTATTTCCTCCAATGAGACATCAAAAATTATAATCATTATCATATATTTTAACCCTTCTTTGCTTATGCATACACACAAGCTTATCGTAAAGTCCAAAGCAATTTCGTCTCCAAGAATTTTTTCTTGATCGCAACCATATACCAACAGGGTCATGTAATTATGTAATATGTAATAGCAGCATAAGGTGCCTTGTTATTATCATTCCTTGATGAAGACGTTATGAGTGCATCCAAATGAGTGCGTCCTTGTTCACTACCAGAATTATTAATCTGGTCTTAAATACTATGGATTAACTGCACTACATCGGAATGAAATCTTTTTCCTAAAAGGGCACGGAGAGCGCAGTATTTTTCCGAGTCCTAATATCGATGCGTATTCTATGTAACGAGGATTTGAAACAATTAATTACCTCAATCCTATGTGAGAAAATAAAGCTGCATATACTCGCATGATCAATCCCAAATGATAACTTTGGTTGCATCAGTCAGAATGAT